GCAGACTGATCCCACAGACATTCCCATCAGTAGTTTTACAATAGTTAAGCAGCGACTTCTTCCAATAGATGCCCCAGAAAGGCCTGCCAACTTAGCTCTGCAACACCCAGACACCACTGAAAAATATAATACACACTTCAGAATGTGGATTGTGAAGCAGCCAAGAACACTACAGTGGCTGCAGCACCTGCTGACTGATACTACAGCAGACAGAAGGAAGAAAGGGAGCACATTTAACAAAGCCAGCAATGGGGAAATGCCAAATGAGTATTGCAGATGAAGGTGTATGTGTGCCAATTTGCTTTATAGCTATGTTATTTTTAAACAGAACAAATTATGCCAGCAACAGTCTGTATTTATGAGGCCACATCTGGACATTTGCAAATCACAGTATGATACCAATCTACAACACTACAAGCAAGAGGGACATGCGTCTGAGTAGTCATGTATAATGAGGAACCAATGAGTAACTGCTCATTTGTTTAAGGGTCCCACCCAAAACAGACAGGTTTTTAGGCCACAGGAAAAGAAAAAATCAACAACAAAAACAGGCAGACAGAAGAAGAGGTATAAGGTTGCTATATCCAACCAAAAATAGTTTAAAATGTGGTCTTTAATCAGGTATCCATTCTCATTTTAAGTGAGATGGATATTAACTAGAGCCGTCAAGCAATTAAAAAATTAATCACAATTAATCACATTATTAAACAATAAAAGAATACCATTTATTTAAATATTTTTGGACGTTTTCTACATCTTCAAACGTATTAATTTCAATTACAAGGTGTACAGTGCTCACTTTATTTTTGATTAGTATTTGCACTGTAAAAAATAGTATATTTCAAATCACCTAATACAAGTACTGTAGTGCAATCTCTATCATGAAGGTTGAACTTACTAACGTAGAATTGTGTACAAAAAACAGCATTCAAAAATAAAACTATATAAAATTTTAGAGCCTCCAAGTCCACTCAGTCCTACTTCTTGTTCAGCAAATCATTCAAACACGTTTGCTTACATTTGCAGGAGATAATGCTGCCTGCTCATGAAAGTGAGAAGAGGCATTCTCATGACACTGTTGTAGCCAGCGTCACAGACATTTATGTGCCAGATGCACTAAAGATTCATATGTCCCTGGATGTTTCAACCATCATTCCAGAGGACGAGTCCATACTGATGACGGGTTCTGCTCGATCACAATCCAAAGCAGCATGGACCGACGCATGTTCATTTTCATTATCTGAGTCAGATGCCACCAGCAGAAGGTTGATTTTCTTTTTTGGTGGTTCGGGTTCTGTAGTTTCCGTACTGGAGTGTTGTTCTTTTAAGACTTCTGAAAACATGCTCCACACCTCATCCCTCTCAGATTTTGGAAGGCACTTCAGATTCTTAAACCTTGGGTCGAGTGCTGTAGTTATCTTTAGAAATCTCCATTGGTACCTTCTTTGCGTTTTGTCAAATCTGCAGTGAAAGTCTTCTTAAAATGAAGAACAGTCATCATCAGAGATTTCTAGAACATGAAATATATGGTAGAATATATAGAGCATCATTAGCATGATAGCATGTCCTCTAGAATGGTGACCGAAGCATGAAGGGACATATGAATCTTTAGTGCATCTGGCACGTAAATATCTTGCAACATCGGCTACAACAATGTCATGCAAATGCCTGTTCTCACTTTCTGATGCTGTAAATAAGAAGAGGATAGCATTATCTCCTGTAAATGTAAACAAACTTGTTTGTCTTAGCGATTGGCTGAACAAGGAAGTAGGACTGAGTGGACTTGCAGGCTCTGAATTTTTTCATTGTTGTGTTTTTGAGTGCAGTTGTGTAACCAAAACAATTCTACATTTGTAAGTTGCACTTTCACGCCAAAAAGAGATTGCACTGCAGTACCTGTATGAGGTGAACTGAAAAATACTATTTCTTGTGTATCATTTTTACAGTGCAAATACTGATAATCAAAAATATACACTTTGATTTCAATTACAACACAGAATAGAATATATGAAAATGTAGAAAAACATCCAAAACATTTAATAAATTTAAATTGGTATTCTATTCTTCAACAGTGTGATTAAAACTGCGATTCATTTTTTTAATCCCGATTCTTTTTTTGAGTTAATAGTGTGAGTTACCTGTGATTAATCGACAGACCTAATATTAACCACTGCTGCACAGCCTTTGCTATTTGTAATAGTCTAACATCTCACTGGTAACTAGTTTGCTAATGTAGAAAGAGGTTACAAACAGGGAGCACAAGATACAGAAAAGGAGTATGAGATTGTCACCGTTTAATTGTTCTTTCTTGTGTGATATCAGAAGGCATGATGTTGACCATGCAGCAGAAGCAAAGGAAAACCCACCCAAACCATAATTCAAGCCGGTTCGGACTTGCAGTATTGTGTGGTCACTCACAGATGTAACAATTCTAGGAGGTGGAGAATGGCAACCACACGGTGGCTATGTGTAAAATTTCCACTAGTTCAAAAGTCACTGGTTTGAGAGAGTTCCCTTTATAAATAAGGGTCTATGCATAAAGAATAAGCAATACCAATAATGTTAGTAAAAACTATCAAACTGGTGGAAAAATGTTTAACTGCAACCACGGTATTACACCTACCCATGTACCATCACACAAATTATGTTTGAAAATATCTGCATGGATACAAGCCTGACATTGCTATCTGACAACTGCTTTCTGTTGGTATTACAGAACAGAGATCCATTAGACTAGCTGTCAAGCCAGGAATAGATATATTAGTGCTTGATTAATATATTTTAAACGGTTTAACTTTCTATAGTGAAAAATACATAAACATGTGACGAGAGTTTCCTAGATTACTTTGTGGAGTAATATAGTCTGTCACACTTTAGGTGAAAAGAAACATACAATAAAAAATAAAATAAAAAAATAATCAGATTGTGGACCAGAGTTCATTTGTGTGAAGGGTTTCCCCCTTAAAAGCTTAGGCAAAATTTTCAGTAGTAGAAGTAAGTTAAAATTAAGCTCCCAAATACATATGTAGGCCCCTAAGTAGTCTGCTTTTCAAGTGTGCTGATGGACCTAGGAGACTTTAGCTACCCATATTTAGTATTCGCTTAAATATGTATTAAAACCAAATCAGCTAGAAATTGGTAAAAAAACAAAAAAAACCCCACAAAAACAAAAAACACACACACCAATCCAGCCATTTATAAATATCAAAACAATGCAGCACAATGGCTGACAGTGAGTAGGCTCCTACTGTAGTTACATTATCAGAATACCCTAAGTATTATCCAAGACAGATTTGCCATATGGCTAAAATTCTCCCCACTCCAAACTTCAGGGGTGGGGAAACTGTCTGGGTCAGTAGGGGGAAAGAAAACTCTAGTGCACCTTTAAGGATTGCTCCCCTCCCCTTCCACTCCTTGTGGGAGCTCAGCTTTGTTATGGGCATCTGGGGGTTCCTAATGAACTGGCTGGATGGAAGGGCATATCAGAAGCCCACTGGCTCCCGTGCATCCAGGAAGGTGGTTTTCTTCATTTTTATATGCCCTTTCCCCTGCTTGGGGACCATTCTGTAGTGGGGAGCAATAGCTACCATCCTTTCACCCTTTGGGATTAGTTGTCCTTACAGTGGGCACCACACTAGTTGCTTTTGCCTGGAAAGAATATTTCCCTCACTGCCTGATTGGCCTGCAGCAACCCAGGAGCCAGTGGCTAGGGTCAGTTGTAAAGTTCATGTTCTGGCAATCTGGTAGATGTCCAGAACAAGTCTGGTCCCTCGATAAACCAGAACTGGATTAGGGGAAGGCATTTCTAAAAGAATGTGGAGAATGGGGCCGAGGTTCCTAATGACTGGTACAACGAGGGGTCAACCCCTCTACGTCCATCTCATTAACTTGTGTACATGGGAAGGGCAGTATGGGTCCCAGCAACAGCAGTGGGACCAGCTTAAATGGGTTGAGGAGGATGGGTGAAGGGAGCCCTCACCAGGTGGTACGGATTACGAAAGGATGATCTGCATCTGACAGGTTATTGCCAGATTGTTTCCCAGATGCATTAATAAACTGTGGCCTAGCTGAACCACATTCCTGGTGGACAAAGGAAACAGGCAAGAAGAAAGCTATATAAATAGGGTTTGTGCAAGTTACTCAAAAATTTAATGTTTTTTCCCCCCAAACATCAAAACCCTATTCTGCATTTATGCAAAAACTGTTTACAGCCAACCTCACTCTATTTGTTTATTTTCTAACTGTAAGGCACAAAGCAAAGCTGGCCAAATTTCTCCCAACCATGGAGACAGCTGCTCCTACCCAAGTTCACAGGAAATAGCAAGAAAAGTACACAGCATTTGACACATCTGGAAGAGATTGCATAGTCTTTGAAAATATTGTCCTAATTCCTTTCCTCCTGCTGATGAGATTTCAGGCTACTAAAGTGCTACATCAACTACAGAGGATTAGATAACATGTAGGCTTTAACTCTACCCATTCTTTTTGTCAGAACAAAGGAGAATTTTTTCAAGCTAGCCTGGAAATAAACATTCTGATTCAGAAAAAAGAATATTGTAAAATGTACTGGCGTAAACAGAGAAATGAACTGGAAGGTTGATATTTAACTTGGGAAAATTGGTATTTACTGCACTAGGTGATCAAGGTAAATTTAAAAAGGAAATCAGCATAACGTGCTTTTCATGTTTGTACTAAGTAGTGAAAAGAAATGTCAATATAGTAGTTTTAAGTAAGAAAGCATGGAATGAAGGGGAGAATAAGTATAGAAGGCTGGGATTTGTACTCATTTAGCCAGAAATTTACTTGTAGTTGCATGCTAACTGACATGCGTGAATACTGCAAATATGTAAATCTCTAACGTAAGGTGCAAAATCCAAAAGCAATCATCATAATTAGCAAAACAAAACGTAATGCTTTATTTGCGCTCTCTCTCTCTCTCTCTCACATAAGGACAATGAATGCAAAAAAATACAGATGAAATTCAAAGGGAAATGCAAATCAACTATTAAACATAATGAATTTTATTTTTTTTCAGGAAAGACTGGAAAGAGGAGTTTTACCCTGAAGTGTTAGTCCATGATCATTTACCTTATGTAGTTTTGAAAGATTAAGAATAATGAACAATGTGACCAGTTTACATATGCATTTTTTAAAACATTCAGTATAGATACAAAATTGAATATAGCACTAACTTAAGACAACATAAATCTCATTCTTTTAATGTTAGCATTAAAGCAAAGTTCCAATAAAAAAACAGAAAGAAAATAAATGTTTTTCAAAGATGCAAAATATATTGATTACTGGCTGCAACTGAGATTCCAGTTGTAGTAAAGAATTAAGAGGTCTAATTCTCCCATTGTGTCAGAATCATAAGTCTCACAGACATTATTGGGAGTTATGTATGTGTATGAACAGGAGAATGCACCCTTCTAGAGATGATATATTTTAGAGTAATACCTCTATTTTAAGTAAATACTATCAAGAGCCCACTGTTCCTATTTTTGCTAGTAGAGCCTTAAATAAAAACACCCATGAAGAAAAAAATGTTATTTCCAAAGTGACAAAAATGTACTCATCAGCTTCATTCTTATGTAACACTGGAGTATTTATTCTAAACAAGCATGATAAGACAGCTATAAAAGCCCTTTTGAGAAATTTAAATAAAACAGATTGCCTTTATATAACACAAACCTTCTTAAGTAAGATGATCAATGTTACAAACCAAGTAACTGATCTGCAATTGCACCTGTGCAGAAGCAGAGGCCCAATACACGGATCCAATTGCAGGATCAGGGCCTGATGGCCCAATGCTTGCTTGTGAAAGTAGCACCATCCCTTTTAATGGGACTTTCCATGTGAGTAAGGGTTTTCAGGATCAGGCCCAAATTAGTTATTCAAATCATACTGTGAGGAAACTAAATTGTTCAGATGGACATTTAAAAGCTTTTGCCCTCTTTTAGAATTATACCCAAAATAAAATTATACTTTAACATCCAAATTAGCAAAAAATAGTGTGTATATATATTGTCCATATAAGATTAAACAAAATTTACAGTGAATGAGAAAATACTGTGGTTACAAATATATTTTGACATAATTCCTAAGAAGCAATCTAAACAGTAATCTAGGCATAGTTATTTACACAGGAGCTAGAAGGGGTATTTCATTTTTAAATCAATTGATATTTTGGTCAGAGTTTGATAAAAGCTGATCGATACAGGTTTATAATAATCAGGAGCTGCAGGTTTTAGTAAACTTTATAACAAAAAGGTTGTATGTTGCACAATCATTAGATGAACCTAAATTACATAAAAAACTAACTACAAGTCTGACCTGGTTAATCTGAATCATTTAGTATATCCCATTTTTACTCTCAATTTAACTTCAGATCAACAAGACAATGGTACATACATGCTATGAGACAAACCGCCACTTAAATCTTTCACAAACAACAAGCACAGATTAACCAAGTCTGACTGTACTTAAGCTCTATCATCAGACTGTATGTATGGTTTGTTCTCATTTCAATCCTATCCTTTAGTTAGCACATATGCAAATGTGCAAAAACAAAGGCAATACTTAATATAAATATTTACTAGAATGAACAGAACTGGCACTTAAGCAAAAACCACCCTGTCATTCATTTTAGAAGCTGTATCTTTTCTTCACAAATTTGTCTTCTGTTTTTAGTAGTCTTCTATCCTATTAACTTGGAGGGCTACCGATCATCTGGAAATTTCACATTGGTAAAGGAAAGGAATGTCTGGTTGATGCAGTCTGGAGATAAAGAAAGAATCATACTTCAGTTCATCAGACTGATTACCTGTAAGTAACACTGATAATTGAGTTAAGATTTACAGAGGGGGAGCAGTTATTCCCCAAAATCAGGATAACAGAAGAAAGTGACAGGATTAAAAAAAACCCAACCTTTAACTTTCAAAAATATTCTATAGTTTTTCTCTTGAAAGATGTGTGTGTGTCATGTTATTTTAGAGCTGCTAACATTGACAGGTAAGTAACTTTCTGTCCAGTGCAATTATTCCTTGTATTAAATTAATAAAATACATTCTTTTATGCTTGTTGGCATTTGCTTGGAGTGTATTATTTCAATTTAATACTTAAAACATCTGAACAAATATAAACTCCCTCCAGCTCTTGAAGAGCGTTTTTCCCCACAGCCCTCACTGTGATTAGGTCAGAAGTCTGGGGCCCAACCCAGCACCCACTGAAGTCAATAAGTTGACTTCAGTGGGTGCTGCATAAATCCCTCATCTTCCATCCTATACCAGATTTCAGTCTCAGATGAAAGAATCACAGATCAAACCATCACAGGTTCTCCTAGTTCTTCCTTAAAGCCACTGTGTTCAGATACAATGTATGCAGTTAATTTTTAGTACCCCTGAGTTTTAAAAGTTTTATGCCTGCACATATATTTTGTTCATCACCATAACTTAATTATTTAGCAAATAGTTACTAGATGTTTTCATGCAGTGTTTACTGAACTTTTCCTTACTATGTAGAGCCACTGTTCTGCTCGGAAAATGAAAGATGTTATTGCTATGAAAAGAATAAAATACTGCAGTGTGGACACCACTAACTTAGGCTAATTTTTAAATGACATATTTCTTTATTATTAGGAGTTTACCTTACTGCATAGTTTTGACAAAATGGCACAAAGTAAAAACATAGTACATTGCAATTTCGCTCACTTAGATTTATTTCTTGATCAAGATCTGTAAAGCACAGCACAAGTAATTATTTTTCATATTTTATCTGTAGGTGTCTGAGTGGATGCCACCATCTTAAATAAAAGACCCATCATTTCTAGACTAAGTGTCTCAGTTTTTCCCCCCAGACTTCCAATACTGTGTTGCTGGTTACTTCATACTGATCCTGCGGCCAATCTTGAAAAAAAAAAAGTTAAGAAAATCATCTTTATTAAATTAAATATAGTTTCTAAATGAAATAAAATTAAGAACCAATACCAAACATTTCAAGTTGTTCATGAAATAAGGAAAATGCTACAATAGTTACTTATGGACATGAAGATAGTGTTTAGTAATGCTAAAGGCAAAGGAGTCTCCCTGTATTAAGCAAAATCCAAAAGATCTACCTAATGGATAAAAAGTCTACAGGAGCCTAAAAGTGGACATGTGCCAAACTGATTAGTCAGCTAACTTAAGGTTATACAGAGCACACTGTGAGATACATAACAAAAATCATGGCTCACAAGTGGCTTAAAACTGTCATGTACAGAGTCAATACATGTCAATCAGACTGAATATTGAGATTGCCAGTAAGGAAGCATTGATCTGACTGATGAGCCAAATCAGTTCACATTTGCTAATGACTATCCTGGTTGGCTGTAGATTGATTATGCAAGATGAACAATTTTCACCTTAACGTCTAAGTTTGTTTTAGCTTTAGAATCCTAGTTTCAAAAGAAAACAATAGTTTTACTTTCAAAATGTAGAGTTATAAAAAGCATCATACTTCTAAAGTACTTTCAGAATGCATGGCACAACACAATTCTTTTTTTGGTGACCAAGATTTAATGTTCCTTGAAATAAATCTTGATATCAGCTTCTTTGTGCTCAGCATTTACCTCTAGAGCAGTGGTTCTCAACCTATTTACCATTGTGCGCCGCATGCAATACTACCTGTATGGCCCCAGGGAGGTCATGTGGGCAGCAGCTGTGTGCTGATTGGGCCACAGGTTGAGAACCACTGTTCTAGAGACATAAGTTTTAATATTAAATATTTACAAAATTGCTTACCTCTAATACAAGAAGAAAAATCTTGTTCTATGAGCAGCTGCCATGCTTTCAGACATGTTTCTGACTTTAAGGTAATTGACAAACCCTCGGAAGAACAGGAGGAGACCTGAAAATATTTAAAATACACATCATGAGAAGTGCTAAAGGTACTTAGTCATATTAATAGTTTAGATTATTTTAATTTAATAATGTAATAAGTCAGTATTATTTGTATAACCCTGATCTTCCACAAATCAACCCATGAGTTATGAGTCTAATAAATTTAGTGTCTCGTCCCATTATATCTAGATATATAAATTATATGAATATGATAGTTCTAACATCAGGAAAGAATTTAAAATGAATTTCAGGGTTTTAGGTTACTAAACATGTAAAGTAACATACAAAACAATTTTTTTTGAAGTACACAAAGGATGTTTGCAATACAGTTTTACAGCATTGCTCTAGGTTTCTTCCTTTTTTTTAAATATAGCTTTTAATTCAGAACAATAAAACTGCTGCTGTGTCAGAAGACCATCTGAATTCTAAAACATAACCAGAAATATATAGATGATGTAGGAGAGTAAATGTACTTCCAGCCAAATAAATAAATAGAATGCTCTGGCAGGAAGATAATAAATGGCAGTAGATGACCGCTTGATGTTTGGACAGGTGACGTTTTTTGGCTGGCTAAAAGAAGAGGCAGAGTGTTGACTGATTAACACAAGATTTGTTGAGCATTAGTTGTAAACATGTGCTTTTTTGGTGTAAGTCATTTAGAAATTAACACCACACTTTCTCGAAATTATTAGAGCTGAAAGATGAGGGAGTTACTTATAACAGTAGGTAGAAACTGGTCAGGTGGAAGTTATTTTTCAAGTTTCAATGCATAATTAGATGAACTCACTTTCATATGATGATGATGACAATTTAGCAATTCAATGACAGACTGGACATTTTTTGACTAAAAAGACTATCAAGGAGTATAAGGCAGGTAGTATGGCCTAGGGGATAAACAATACTGGGACTCAGGAAACCTTGGTTCTATTCCCAGCTCTGCTACTCCCCTGCTGGGTGACCTTGAGCAACTCACTTTACCTCCCTGTGCTTCAATTTCCCCATCTGTGAGATGTGGATAATGATATAAAGGAGGTAAGTAAAACATTTTGAAATCTACTGATGAAAAGGGCTATTTAAGAGCTGGGTGGTATTATTAATTATTATTATTACAGTAAATACTGAAAAAAGTAGTTGTAGAAGGTACCATTCTGGTTTTAAAGCAATCTCTAACTTTTAGGCATTAAGAGGACACTAATACTACATCTGCCTATTGTGAGGGTTTTTTTGCAATTTCTTCCATGCTACTGGCCATTGTCAGAGACAGTATAATGGACTAGATGGATTCTGGGTATGATCTAGCACAGCAACTCCTACGTTCAAGTTGATGGTGCCCCTTTAGGGCTAGCAAGCTTCTTTTAGAATATTGAAAAATTAATTTCACCAGCCCATGTAGATATTTCTCACTAGTATAGCTAAGCTTACATGGGGCAAGTCTACACTATAAAATTAAGTCAACCTAAGTTACGTCGACGTACCACCAGCACAGTAATTCAATTGATTTTACACATCCACACTATGCCTCGTGTTAGTGGTGCACATCCTCACCAGGAATGTTTGTACCAATTTAACTGCTAGTGTAGGGCATTGTGGGAGAACTCTTTTGCTTTTTGTTGTGTAGAAATTTAGTTTACTAAAGTAGTAAACTCATTGACCCAGCCACCACCAAATGGTGCCAGGGGCTATGGAAAGTTTTGTGGATTGTTGACTTAGAGTAATGTGAATAACTCATTTTTTGGTTCATTGGCAGTTCCAAAAACATCTGGAAAATAATTAATTTCAGATCAACCCAAAACCAAAATTTTCCTGAGTTTTCAGCCAACAGAAAAAAAAATAGTTTAGGGTCAAATTAAACATTTGTTTGACTTGAAATTAAATGTTTCATGTCTGGGCATTTTTAACCTTTTAAAACAAAAACAAAAAAATTTGGAAACAAAACGGCTAAGTTCACAAGGGAACTTCGGTACCATTTACAAGATTGAGTAGGTAGAGATGCCCTCCACATGCCTAATAACCCAGTGATCAGGGCACTCACCCCTTGGGATGTGGAAGATCCAGATTCAAATTCCCATTCTAGAGCAAGGACGTGAACCAAGTCTCCCACCTCCAGGTGAGAATGCCCTAACCACCAGCCTATTCTGTGGTAGTCTCTCTCCCATTGCAGCTGTTCTGCTTTGTATAAATTAAATATTCATTCAAGTAGGGACTGGAACCTAGGTGTCTCCCTACCAATCCCTAAAGTGCGTACCTTGTTAACTGGACTAAAAAAAATAAAATAAAATTGTCACGTACTCTTTCTGGCCCAATGAACATTTAATTTTTTCAACTGAAACAATTCACCAAAATCAACATGAATTCATGAAATATTTCGGTTGACCCGATTCTGCATTTTCCGGTGAAAAAAAGTTTTAGCTAAAATATTTCACCCAGCTCTACCCAAGATCAGGTCATATGTTTTTGTGATTAAGTTGAATGCTGTGGGAACAGAAAAGAGAAGTTTAGACTGGTATTCTACTGCATGAACCTGCAACCATGAACACAAACTGCTTCCATGTCCAGCTGTAGGGGTTGTGCAAGAGCAGGAAGGGAAGACAGGTGGCTTTCAAGGAGCCACAGCTGAAAGCTCTTTTTTGCATAGCATGTATATTGAGCAGCAGATCCAAGCTCAATCAACTTTCTGCATTTCTCCCAGTTGGGAAACTTAGCCAGCAGTGCATTTTATATATATATATATATATATATATATATATATATATATATATATATATATATATATATATATATATATATATATATATATATAGTAGTAGTAGTA